CCTAAGAAAAAGGATTTGGGACATGATTTTTATAATGTTATTCTGTATCATAATACGTTTTATTAGGTTTGTACTACTTGAATTTGATTTTTTCCATTTTTATGTACTTATTAATCATATATTCATATATTCTAATTGCATTAAAGCAGTAACAAAATTGGATATATATCTTTGTGATTTAAGAATATAGAAAAAATTATAGAGTTTATTAAAAATAATCAGTTACAACTAGATATTTAAAAACACTGTTTCACCAGCTTTCTATATTGTTGAAAGAAATCAGTATGGCAAAATACATACAAATTCTGATTGAGGAATATTTCCAGTTAGGAAAAACATCCTAACACTTCAACAGTAGAACCAATTACTCAGGAAAATGACAAGCTTTGTTTCCTTGGATGCAAAGAGTCTGGACAGTTATTTCTTGGAAATGGTTTAATTTAAATTCCTATGTTGTAAAAGGGATTGGACTATAGATCAAAATGCAAGTCAAGACACAAACATGTGTCTACTCAAGTAATCCTGACAAAATTAATGGACTCATTTCTAAGTAACTATATATGACTACATTCTGAAACTATTATATGATATTATATGAAGCCCAAGTCACAAAAATAGAACTGCAATCCATATTGATAGCCTATAAACAATATACACCATAAATAAATTGTACTTGCCTGACAAAAATGTAGACACTGATTGGAAGAAATTTTTACTGGCAACATTTAAACTATTGTCATGTTATCCCAGAAGAAACACTGCATAAGCAAACTAAGTTAATATGTATATCATTGTTTTTCCCTATAGATGGTAAAGTATTATAACTGAAAGAAAATTAAAAGTATTTGTTGCATTTTAAAGATGGATTTAATGTATACTAGAATTTAAGAGAATGTCTTAATGGCATTTATTTTAGTATTTTAGTATGATAAAATCCTAAACTTACAGCTACACATCCTGTCACATGTTTTAGAAGAATGCAATCATAGCCATATAATGTGAGAATATCTCTGTTGTGGATTTTTAAGAGTTATATATTAATAACATAACTTTTCACCCAAATGCTCTATAGCCCGAAGTAAATAATAATAATAAGTTACTCAAGAATCCAATGACTTAGAATACATTTAGAGAAATCATAAAAAAGAAATTTAGGTATATTGCCAATATAAAATTATAATGAATATACAACTTCTCAAAATAACATGGATAGTATTCTTTACATGTAAGACATTTGCTTGATGCATGCCTATCCTGTGGCCTTAACACAGATGTATATTAGAAAAAACTGCATACATTTATATCACCAGCTTTCTATAAAAGACATTTCTAAAAATTTCTCATTTATTCTTGACTTTATAATTACCGGTAGTTTCCGTTTTTATAATGAGTCTGGAAGAAAAAGTTCTAGCCCAAGAACTTTATCTGTTGAATTATAACCATTATTCTGTTCGATAATTTGAGCTTATAAGGAGGAATCTCTAGGAAGTTTCTTTGCAATAAACAATGCTTGTCATATATTTGATATATTTTTGAAAGATTACAAATACAACAAGGAAGAAATCATCAATTATTCCAGCACAATTTCATGGAAGTTTCTTGAGCAAGTCATAAATTCTAACTAGTTTAACAAAATTAACTCTCAAGTTAATAGAGATATAGAGATACAGCACAGTACTTTTCATGTTTCCTTTTCTCATCAAATCTTTAATTTTTTTTAACTTAGTATTTCTTTTTCTGCAATTTGCATAACACCGGTTATTCTGAAACAGCATAGTATGATTGGCATATATATTTTTATTTTTTCTTAACTCTATACAGAAATAGGCCTATATAAACAGAAAAGTGTCTGATTTCACTCATTACCGGATCTCATTGAATAAAACGTCTCAGACTAAAGTTATTACACACTGAACTGCAGCACAAAACACTTCCGTTCCCAAGGAGCCTTTCTCGAAAACAACTTCAATATTCTTTGCTGTCTGATAGTCTTGGGACTGGGTCGTTCACGAACGACAATTCCAACCCCCAACTTTACTTCTAAAAAGCCCAATACACACGTTAAATTAAATACACACGTGAAAACTAGCTTTTAAATCCACAAAGCCCTTGAAACAGTTACTGGCTGGGATTAACGTATTCAACCAATTGGAAAAAGGGGGATTTTTATCTTCTATGACACTCCAACCTTCACCCCCCCCCACACACACACACACAAACACACGCCCCAGAAAACCAACACGCAAGGCCTACTTTCTTGCCTTACCGGGAAGGGGGTCTCATGTTGTGGCTCCGCAACGCCGCGTCTTCCTCGTAGTTAAGTAGTTTCAACTTCTCCAGCAGATCCTCCATCATGACAAACATGTGATAAAGCGCCCCCGGCCCGCGTTCCACCACTGCTGATTCCCCGGTCGCGTCCCCTTCCTCGGCGGCCGCCATGACACATTTCAATTGCAGCTCCTCGCTTCCAACTTGTTGCCAGCACGACGCGAGAAGCGTCAAGGCCGCCCGCGTCACCCGGGAAACAAACCCCGCCTGCTCAAACGCTTGCCCTCCAATCGCTTCTTAATCCGAGCAGTCAGGTCCACCCGAAGTGATTCTTGGAGGCGTACATTCAGGGCTTCCAGCTCTGGGTGCGAAAATTCGGGATGATAGCTAAAACCCGGAAACTTTAATTCTATTAACTTCTAAGGCTCGCCGGGATTTTACAGTGCACGCCTGGAAACCGGAGTGGTTGATGTGTGATGCATGGAGCTGCAATTTTAATCCGATACAAATTTACAACTCTGCGATCTGGGCTGCAATAATCCGGACGACCCGGATAAAGAGCAGTGAGGGGGGAGTGCGGAGAGACTGATATTGGTTCAGATTTTGCCACTCAGATCTGGATGCGTGTCCTTTACGGCTGTGCTATCTAAGCCCTCAGAATTTATTCAGTACATCGTGGCTACCCCCTAAATTGGGATAATGAGTAAATTACATTAATTCAACCATGTATACGTGTACTGTAAACAGAATTGAGAGAAACCAACAGAAATTAATATTGGATAGAATTAAATGATGGATTTTACATTTGGAGTACTTGTTAAAAAGGACTCTAATATAACTTATATTTGACAGCACTGTTTATATTAGATTAAAAGTAATCTGGTTCAGAAGAGTTCCTATAATAATTAAGCTGAAGGTAAGGGGAAGTCTTCAGAGAAAACAAAGCTACTGAGAGATAAACTTGCTGATAATCTGATATTATACAGGCTATGTTTACATAATAGCTGGGTCTACAATTATTAAATCACACCATTTGCAACTTTTGTAAAAATGGCATAATGTGATAGTTTTTGACATCACACCTTGAGCTACATGTGTCTTGCACTGAAATCTGATTTAAGAAAGCTCTTTCCAGATTTCAGACCTTTCCTTCAATGTGACCACATAATCAGCTGCACAGTTAATAAGGCATCTAGTACAGAGGTCCCCAACCTTTTGAGCACTAGGGATCGGTTCCATGGAGAGAAGTTTTTCTGCAGATCAAAGGGAGGCGTGGTTTCATGCACTGCCTGCCTTCCACGGATGGGGCTTTGCTTTTTTGCGCGGACTGGTTCTTGGCATGCCACAGCCTGGTGCCAGTCCATGGATCGGGTTGGGAACCCCTGATCTAGTGGATGGTAAGCTAAACAGAGGGCTGCTAAACAGATGGTCCATAAGGTACCATTCACATTCATGACAGAAAAGCAAAGCTAATTACTTTTTGTCTTGCCAGCAGGTATTTTGAACACTGGCAGGGAAACAAAAACAAGGGGGTTAATAGTAGTTTCTGTTCTTTAGGTTACTGCCTTCTTTGAATCTCAAACCTTCTTTGAATCTCAAACAGCAACTTTTTTTAATCCTTTGAATCTAACATTCAGGATTTGAATTAAAGGAATTCTTAATGGCAGCCATTTAGGATTCAAATGATAGTAAATCTTAAATTGGAGTTATAAACACTATCCAGTAAATTGTAAACAGTTAAACTACTGAAAGTCTACACTGATTTGTTTTCAACTATAGCATCCTGGTAGTATTCCTCTGGCACATTCCATTGTAGTGGGATAGAAAACATGTTGAAGGGAATCTTGTGGGTCATCCAATTCTCTGACATACTATAGAATTCAGCTAAATTATCTCTGAAGGAAGGCTAGCAGCCCTTGTTTGAAAACCTCTAGAGTGGAGAATCTATCACTATTTTAGGTAAATAGCTCTTACTGTCAAAAAAAAAAAGTGGTCTTCTTAATAGTCATCTTGACACTTCTTTCAATTTCATCCTTTTGTTCCTTGTCCCACTTTGTTTCAACAGAGAATAGGATCACCCCCTCCTGCACATGAGAACTTATCAGGTATTTCTAGACCACCTCAATATCTTGGTCTTCTTTTTTGCAAGCTAAATATAGCCAGTTCGTTTAACTATTTCTCATTTCTCATAACTGCATAGCTTTCACAGTCCTTACCAAGCTATTCCTATAAACCTGCTATGAGTACTCCATATCAGCAACTAAACATAGTATTATGTGATCCATACTATTATAGAATATTCAAACCCATGATCTGGACACAAAGTTTTTGTTAAGGCAGCCCAAGATTCTATTTGTCCATTTCAAATAGAAGTAAGTGGTCTACTTCTAATTATTTTTCATATGTATTACTGCCAAGTCAGATCTCCCCAGTCCTGTATTTATATATTTTATTTTTCCTATCTAGAAGTAGAGAACATTAATGCAAAGAAAATATACAGCAGTTTTTGCCTTCTCCGTATACAATTATTACTTCTCTGCCTTTTCCGTGCAGAACTGTAAGAGACTGATGCTACCCAAAACAGAGCTAGACCAGATCAGGAAATGGACTAAATTAGAACTATATTCAGTTACGATAGGTTATAAGTAACAGCATTGTGTGAACCTGATTGTTCTCCATCTTCTCTCCCTATTATATCCCATTGAGTCACAGAGGAACTGACCTGCATCTTCCCCTAACGCTACCTTCTTTTGCACGGCCTAAGGCAGTGATGGCGAACCTTTTAGAGACTGAGTGCCCAAACTGCAACCCAAAACCCACTTATTTATCGCTGGGTGCCAGGTGGGTGTGGCCCACTGGTTGGGCATGGCTGTAGTGGTCATGGCAGACAGAGTGGGTGTGGCCAAGGTGGACATAATCACCTTGATGTTGCTCATGGGGAGCGACACCTGTGGGAGCTGGGCAGGGTTGGGGGAGATCCAGGGGGTCTCTGGCAGGTGGGATGGTGGGCAGGAAGCAAGGTGAGGCAGGGCGGGGTGGCCATTGTCACAGGGCAAGGTGAGGCAGGGGCCGAGGCGGCGGCTGCCTGACACCATCGGCCCCACACACAGAGGCCAGTGAGCGCACGGGCTGACAGTGTCCATCAGCAGCCACAGCCTGCTGGCCCCTTGACCGGCACACTCTGGGACTCCGCAGCCCGCCGCCAGAAGTTCAGAAAAGCTGCGTCTGAGTTGGATGGACAGCTGACAGCTGAGGAGGCGATGCAATAGGTCGTGCCCTGGCAAAGGAGAGCATGCAAGGCCAGGAGGGATGGGACGGAGGGGAGGGAAACCAGCTGTGCTGGGATGCATCTGGCCATGTAGGACCTCAGTGAGTTAGCAGGTGGCTGGTTGAAGAGGGACAGTTGCCATCTCTGGGGCATAGCGCTTGTGCCCACAGAGAGGGCTCTGAGTGCTGCCTCTGGCACATGTGCCATAGGTTCGCCCACTGGCCTAAGGAAAGTTTCTGCCCTTGTCTCTGTAATGGCTTTTGAATATTGTCTTCAAGGTTATCTTCATGACTCTCTGAACCCTCATTCGCTGTTCCAGTTTAATGTAAGGCTTTCCTGATAAAGTTCACAAGTCCTTTGCCAAATCAATTTTCCCTTATGGAGTGTAACCCATTTCTGCCTAAGAGTTGCCTAAATGACTCATAGTTGAGAAACTCATTTTTTCTTCAACAATATCACATTGTTAGTTGTTCATTTCAGAATTCCGCTTTACAATTACTTGAAAGCCTCTGAAATATTTGTCCTTTCTTGCCAAAGTAATTTGTACTCCGATAGATAAGTAGGCATGGCTAACAATCAGTGGTTTGATGAGTGGTCAATTTTTCCACCAGATGACGGACATCTTGGGGTGGAAGTGCTCTTTCAAGTAGATGGCTTCAGCAGCTCCCAAAACCTCCCAGCTTCTTATATAGACATTTCCCGGGTAAATGCGATACTGAATCCAAACTGACAGCTATTTTAGAAGCACCTAGGCCAAAGTCCAAGGCCGAACTTCAGGCTTTCTGGGCCTCCTGAATTTCTACAATTCTTTTCTTCCACATAAAGCTAGTGTAGCTGAGCCTCTTCACAGGCTACTAGACAAACAAGCAGTGTGGCAGTGGTCACATACACATGAGGCTTGCTTTAACAAAGTCAAGGCCTTGCTCACTTCTAACAGTGTACTTGCACATTTCAACGAATCTCTTCCTGTGTGCATCGCATGTGATGCGTCCCCTTACGGGGTAGGAGCTGTCCTGAGCCACCTCAGGTCTGATGGAACTCAGGTTCCTGTTGCATATTACTCCAGAACATTGTCTTCTGCTGAGCGCAACTACGCTCAGATAGACAGGGAGGCTCTGGCTGTTGTCGCTGGAATTAAAAAATTCCACGATTTTCTCTATGGCAGGCATTTCACGGTCTTTACTGACCATAAGCCTCTGCTGGGACTGTTTACCACACGTAAGCAGACTCCCCAAATCATTTCCCCTAGAATGCTTAGGTGGTCTATTTTTCTGTCTGCATATGATTTTTCTTTACTCCACAAGCCTGGGAAAGAAATGGGCCATGCTGATGGCCTCAGCAGATTGCCTCTGCCAGTAGTAGAAGCTGACCCTGCGCCAGCTGTCAACATTCTATCACTCCAAACCTTGCCCGAGCTCCCTCTTTGTGCCAGGGATGTTGCCGCTGAAACAGGTACAGATCACACACTTTCACGTGTCCGTTCCTGGGTTTTGTCCGGTTGGCCTGAGCACTGCCCTAGTCCTGAGTTTCAGAGTTTCTGGTCCAAAAGAAACGAGTTGTCCCTTTCTCAGGGTTGTCTGCTTTGGGGAAACAGAGTTGTCATTCCCTCCTCAATGAGGACTAGGGTCTTAGAATCCCTCCACGAGGGTCATCCTGGCATTGTTCGTATGAAGGCTCTTGCACGCAGCCACTTGTGGTGGCCTGTTTAGATAAGGATATTGAGGCTAAGGTGCATGCATGCCACCTGTGCCAACGATCTCGCCCAGAGATGCCCCAAGCTCCCGTGCATAAATGGGAGGAAACGCAGTCCCCATGGTCTAGGGTGCACATTGACTACGCTGGGCCCTTTCAGGGCCAGTTCTTCTTGGTCCTTGTTGACAGCCATTCAAAATGGCTTGAGGTTGTACCTGTCTCTTCCACCACCACTGCAAAGACTATTCAGGTACTGAGGGGGATTTTTGCTG